TGGTAATTGATTGATTCAATGCTTCCAACTTTCAGCTTTGTACATTGTCTAAAATCAGAAGGACTCAGGGAGCTGCCTTTCATATAAACAAGTATTATTTAAAGGCATGTATTTCTGTGATTTTTGGCTACCATAGATTTTTGGCATACCATTCTCCTGCAATGCCTTCATTGTCTAAGAAATATTTTATTTTATTATATATGGATTTTATTTTATTTATATATGGATTTAAATCTGATAAAATGATGTGTAATATTTTATGAGTTGAGTTGCTCATGCTCATACTTTTAATTCCATGCTTTTCAAACCAGTTAATAACCCATCTTTCTGTTTTTGTCTTTTTTTAGCTAAAGAAATAAATATTCCTCACATAAATGCTTTACTAGAGTCTCATACTTTATATAAACATTTCTAACACATAATAGTCCAAACTAAAATGCTTATTCTAGACTAATTTCAACTTTATGTCATGCAAAACTTTGAGTCATTTAACTTCAACCTTTTATTCCAGAATAGATCTCTTTTGTTTTTGTGGATAAATGGATTACAAGCTGCAGTTTCTACATCTTGAAGTATGAAGTGTTACTCCATAATAAAGTATAAATCCAAAACACATGTGTCTTTCTAGAATGAGTTTTGTAACATGGACAATAATAGGTGCCTTTGTTTGAGATGCCAATAACTATCTAAGGATCAAAGAAAATAGAAACATGCCATTTACAGCATTCATTGACAATATAGGGAATTTCCTATAACTGTCAGATTTATCAACTGATAGATTATGCTCTGTTCATGCCGTTAAATATCATTTAATTTATTCTACCTCTTGAAAAGATTGGAGGAAATGTTAATAAAATTGCCTTTTTCTCTTCTGATCAGTTACAAATTGTAATATCAATATTCTCCCTGATTTGTCAACAACTTATTTTTACAGTGTTCGTGGTAGCTTTTTATATAAATTGCTTCATCACTTTCTCCCAGATGTAACATGCTGCATGTACATGGTCTAATTCAGAGGTCGCCCACTGGTGGTCTGCAGTGCACCCATGTCTGCAACAGGGGTAATACTGGCAGCGGATGGACTGATATGCACAGGGAGGGAGGGTAGCACATGGGAGATTGTGGGATCGGAGTCCTTCCCAGGTGTTTTCTGGTCTGTGAGGGGGTGGGAGTGGGGGAAAGAAACATCTGAACTGGTGCTGGGTGGTGGGAATCTGATGTCCGGAAGCCAAAGAGCCATGTGCTGAAGACCAGATGGCTGGCGGGGAGGTGGAGTAATCCTACAGTCTCCCTAGCAAACCTGTGTCATGGCTGCTGCCTCCTGCTTCTGTGCATTGAGGAGGCCGAGCAGCAGCTGGAAGAACGTGGACCTCCTGAATGGCAGGAAGCCACTGCCAGTTCTGCCCTCAGGTGAAGATGTTGCAAAGGGGGGTTAAACCTCTCCCCTCAGAAGCCACAAAGCACTCACTGCCCCTCTGGCAGCTGCCAAGCCTCCTGCCACCCTCCTTCTCTTCCTCTCGCCAGAAGCACTCACATGCCCAGCGGGAAAGAGGCTTGGCAGGTGCCAGAGGGGTGTTGAGTGCTTTGTGGCTCCTGAGGGGAGGGATCGAGCCTCCCTCTCACAACATCTTCACATGAGGGCATCGCTGGCAGCCGCTCTGTCTCCTTGGTGCATGGAGGCAGGAGGCAACACCAGTTCAGAGGTTCCTTTCCCCTCCACTCCCACCTCCTCGCAGGCCAGGGAACACCCAGGAAGGGCTCCAATGTTGCGATCTCCCACATGCTACCCTCCCTCCCCACGCGTATCAGTCCATCTGCTGCCAGTATCACTCCTGTTGCCCCACCTCCCTGCCAACCATCTGGTCTTCAGCATGTGGCTTCCGGACACCAGATTCCCACCACCCAGCACCAGTTCAGAGGTTCCTTTCCCCCCACCCCCGGTGACAGAGAAGGGAGGGGGAAGAGAAAGAGAGAGGAAGAGAAAGAGGGAGAAAGGGAGAGAGAGGGGGAGAGGGAGAGAGAGAGATGAGAATCCCGGTGGTTTTCTGTGGGAAACGAGTCCAAATGACTCTTCGAGTATTTAAGGTTGCAGAAACAGGCAGCCAAGCTAAGTGCCTGAAGGACCCCCATCCCGACAGTGGGAGTCCAGGCGCTTCATCAATTGGCATGCTGGATTCATATTAGTGGTCTGCCTCTGCACATGTGTGCGTGCCTCCTGCCAGCCAACTGATTGTCGGTTATCTGTAGGGGGGGGTCACACACACATGCACAGAGGCATGCGGTGCATGCACAGGTGTCATGCATACATGCACAGGAGGTGGGGGATTGCGTGCACATTGCATTATGGGTGCAAACACACATGCGCACACACACACACTTTCGGCACGCGACGACAAAAAGATTGGCCATCACTGCACTGTAGATTCTTAAGTTCTTAAATACTGCATATCATTTTAACAAATAAGTCCCACAAAAAGTTTCTCCTTCAGGCTGCTACCGAATTTATTCTATATGCTTCTTGAATCTCAGTAATTCTTCTTTAAGAAAACCCGGATAATCTCAAAGCAGCTTTTCTATATTTCCATGCACATTTTTTCCTCTGAAATCCTCTGCTCATGTACTTTGGCCCTGACACATATGGGGAATAGCATCCATTGAAACAGTCCTGTCCTGCACTCCTTCTAGCAGCCTTTGTAAACCTGGCTTGAGGTCTTGGGTTAGCTGAATGGAATGACCTATGTTTGAAGAGGATTGTGAGGTGTTTCCATTACGTTTCTGTTGATTAATTTTTTGTATGTTTTTTTAAGGTCGGTAAAATAAGGACCCAGATTGTTGGAGGCGATATGCTGACTCTGTAAACTGCTTAAAGAGATTTGTACTGTGAAGTGGTATATAAGTCTAAGTGCTATTGCTATTGCTATTTATTTTTCACTGCTCCAAGTCCTCCGAGTTGAATATCCTTACAAATACTATTTAGAATTTCTTCATCTCTCCTTCTCCATGTCCCTTCCTGCATCCTGGGCTCTAGAAACTGGAAGAAAAGAGCAATACACAGATGCATTACTTTCCCTTGCAGATGGAAATAAGTGATAGGCAGGAAATGTGGTCTTTCTGCTCCATTTTATTTTTAAATGATAAAAGAAAACATTTGTTCCCTTGAACCACAGATGAATATATGAGTTTACATTAATTTAGTCTTTTGGAATGTATCTGCCCCTAACAGATAAAAATTAATTTGTTTTCTTTTGTATATAATGGGCTGTTGCTGCAGGGTTCAAACAAATGTTTTCTGTGTTCTTGAATCTCTCCCGTACTTCCGCTTTTCTGTTTTTCAGTTATACTGTTAAAACACGAATCAGAAACTAGTAAATAGTAGCAAAGAAGGATCGGGTGTTTTTGAATATGTTACCGGTGATAACATATCCCAATAATTACTCATGAAAATCTTATTTATGGTAGTGATAATACCAATAAAATAGCAATGATTATGTTTATTTACAGTTTATTTTATTTCTTTTTATATATATAAAATTTATACGTAATTTTTTAAAAAATTAATACCTCTTACTGAAAGAATAAAATTGAGAAATTTTTGAGCTCTATACATACCAAATACTCTTGAATAAATATATAAAATAATGTTTGCATCGCACAGATGTTCTTAATAAAATATATTTTGCTGTAAAAAAGGGAAGGACAAGTACTATTTAATATTGCCTGTGTAAAATGATGCACGTGAATAACATTTAGCCCATCTTTAAATTTGAATTGATTTGTTTGCTGAATGTATAACCGTTGCTTGAGATGACTCAAATCTTGTGCAGCAGTGTGGTCTTTGTGGGCTTCAAGAAGCTTTGACTCAAGACCTGTAAAGTATTTCCATATTGTGATGATGTGTGGAGGGGGAGGGCAGAAGGAGAAAGAGAAATACAGATACATATAATATTTCATTACATCCTGCGGTAAAGTTACTCCCATGATGAATTGCAAAATAGGAGGAAAAAGCGATTTAAATTATAATGAAGTGGTAGATCATTCACAGTACATTAGTTTTAACCATGAGATTGTATAATGAGTATTATCCTGAAAGGCTAAGAGCTAATGTGGTGAGCAGCTCCTTATAACTGCTTTGTGATTTCCTGGCTCTATTACTATTTTTTTTTCTTTCTTTTTTCTTTTTTAGGAAGGGGATTATGTTGAAAACCCAGGTTTTTAGGACTTTAGGTCTACTTTGATATTCCTTGTATTTCTTTATCTACCCTTTCCCCTTATTCCTTTTCCCTAAAAGAATCAACTTCCATACTCATCAACTATCCCCTGTGTAGTCATTATATCTACCTGCTCTATTTTACTCTGAGCCTGTCCCCACATCTACAGTCAGATCTCTCTTTTCATGACTGATATAACCACTTGGAAGTTTCCCCTTCTTAAGATGGCAATGAAAATGAAAAAGCAGAATGAAGCCATGTTAAATGTAGAACCACAAAAATAGATAAAGAGCTGCACAGATTATCTTTGATACAGATCCTCTTTTCAGAGTTTTGTGTTCACAGATAGAAGAACAATATTTCAAAATGGTTTTTTTTTTGGTGAGTGTATAATTAGGAATCCTTTCCCCTCATGTTCCCCGATTCCTACTTTGAATAGTGGGTATTTTATCTGCAAGTAACCACTCTTGAATCTACTGCAAAATATGGCAACATTCTCTGTTATATGTGTTATGTCCTGAGCATGGGCGCAAGGAACGGAGACGAGGCATCGATCTGTGACTTCAACTCTTTATTAGTGACTTCAGAACAGAGCAAAATACTTGGGCAGCAGCAGCTCTTTTATAGAGCTGGCTGCTGTCAAAACAACCAATGATTTGAGTTTACCGCTCTAAGAAATGTCCAATCAGAGTCGACCCGCTGTCAGCCAATCAGATCAGTCAGAAACGACCAATCACGACTCGCTATTCGCGGGCCAATCAGAAGTGCAGGATTACGAGCCTGCTGTTGAAGTAAAACTATTAGGGTTGTTAATGAACGCGTTAACTTAGTTCGTAACAATATGTACATGTGTTTTCAGTTTTAGATCACATGGGTAACCCATTAACAAACCCCAATTAGTGGTTTAGAAACTGCAGCTATTCTGCTGTTCAGGAGAGAAATCACAAGGTAGGAGTGGGATATTAGCAGTCATATGAGCTGTATGTTGGTGAAGCAGATTATGAAAATATACCGAAAAGAATCTACAAAATTATTGATCAAACGTAAATTATATGAATCAAGTGAATGAAAGTTGGCATTTATTTCACTTGGACTTATACAAAGAAGGGTTTCTTAGATGGCATGAATACACTGTAAGATTGTCACAATTGCTACATTATGCAGTGGCTATAATATTATGGTTGCCTAACTAATATTTGCAATTTGCTTAGTCATTCAGTCATGACTTCGTTTCATGGTTGTAGCTCTTAAAATGTCAAAATGAAGGCATTACTTTTTTTAAAAAATGACAAAATTTTGAATCAGATGCTGGGTAATAATTTATGTAATAAATTAAATAATAATTTATGTTTATGCTCTAATTTGCAACCTGTAGAAAAAAATAACTAGATATATATTTCTATATCCTTGTAGTCCAACTCTATGTATGCTTACCTTACTAAACAGTTTATTTTTATTATGTATATTAGGATTGGACTACTTAGCTGCATAATCTATGTCCATATAAATTGATAGAACCTGTCATCTGAATCATGTCCCTAAAAGATAATTTTATGGGATATCTCTTGAATGCAGTTGCAATTGTATTACATTTTACATTTTCTGGAGCAGCTTGGGATAGCAAGGAGACATAAAAAATCTGAAGAAGGGAGAGAATTTGCATACTCAATGTTTTTCATTGTTTTGTTTATGTATGGATTAATATTTTTCTCTTATAGAGCTTGTTCTTACACTAGTACTTACAAGACTAATATTAAATGCAGTGCAACAAATATGATGTGATAAGTAAATTTCAGATAAAACTGTGTATAATTTATTTATTTTATTTTAGTGATCAAGTTTATATACTGTCCAATTTACTCTGGGTGGTTTACAGATAAAAAGTCAGAAAATCATGATAAAGATACAGTTAAAACAGAATAAAAACAGATAAAAGCAAGGATAAAAAGTATGTTAAAAACAGGTGGACAGCTACCAGGCATCAACTATCCCCAAGGTTGCATGCTGTTCTTTAACCCCCTCACAAGTTGGCAGACCCAGGTCTTCACATTCTCCAGAAGGCCAAGAGAGTAGGAGCCAACATCCCTTCTGGGAGCAAGAAGTATTATAGAGCAAGAGCAATGCAGAGAAGGCTCTCTTCTAGAATTCTTTAACCAACAGGATTTTTAACATACACTCTTTGCCTGACCAGATGATGTAATCGGGACAAGATGGTTCCTCAAGTAACCTGGGTCCATGCCATGAAGCGCTTTAAAGGTGATAACCAACATCTTAAATTGGATCCAGAAGAAGCTCACGTACATATGCAGTCCTAGGGGTGCTCATGAAGCTGCATTATTTGTTAGCTGCAGCTTTTTGCATACTCTTCATTGGTAGCCATATTAGAATGTATTGCAGTAATCCATACAAGAGATGACCAGGACATAAGTAGAAGTGCATTTGGGAAGGGGCATAAACTGGTGAATCTTGAAATTAAGCAAAGGTACTCCTAACTATGACATAGAACTGGTCCTTGAGTAGGAGTTATGAGTCCAAAAGGACCCCCAGATTACACACCTGGGGCACCTGGGGCAGTGCAACCCCATTCAAGACTGAGGATAATAAATCTTTAGATGCAAATGAGCTTCATATTGACAGTCAATCTTCTTGTCTTTATTCAGCTGAAGCCTGTGGTTTCCCATCCAGATCTCCACAGCTTCCAGATACTGCAAAAGAACATCTATAGCTTTGCTTAGTTTACCCAAGGTGGAGATATCGTGATACAACTTTCCAACCATAAAAAAGTTTAATAGAATTATAAGGGGGGGAATCATTCACAATTTGCTAAAGGTTAGCAAAAAAAATCCTACAAAAAAAGAACATTCAAGCCAATCAAAGTTAGCCCTTAATATTGATATGAATGTATATAAAAAGAAATGTTATGAGTAAGCCTTGAGTTCACCAAGGTGGGTTGGGTAAGGGAAATTTAACTCTTTCTACCCCCAGATTGATAATTGTAATGCAGTGAAGTTATGGGACATGTCCTAAAAAGCTGGCAGTGGCTTTGATAAGGCACATTTTGTTAAAATAATAATAGTAATAGGGGAGAAACATCATCCAATCTCCTCTTTCCATAGCATCCCAAAACTTCACATTTTCCCAAGTTGCTATTCATCTAAAAACAACTTGCACATTTTTACTGTTCATAGCAAATAATATTGCATCTCATTTGGCTATTGTTCTACTACACCCCTCCCTTAATTCAGGCTTGTAAAAGATGCCTTTTGGTTTCAGTATGTGGGCTCACATATCCTTCAAACAACTAGCCATTTTATTCTTCTTACAGCTTTGACAGAAGGGGAATATCAGTTTAGCGATAGGCTTTTGGTCTATTTTAAGCCTCTCAAAAAGGTTAATCTTTTTTCTAACCCAACTGTCTGAAAGGATGCTTTTGTCTGATTTGTCCTAATAGGATGACATGAGTAGAAAGAACAGAGAAGATACTGTTAAAAAGGTGTGACAGTATGATATCATACTTTGCTAAATCTTTAACCTTTTGTCACTGATTGTACATCCTCTAAGATTGAAGGTTGATGCCTGGGTTGCACTCTCATAATTTTCTCTGCAGAACAGTACAACCAGGCCTCCCAAAGGACGAACAGTTTAAAAAGCATTGTGTTACACCTTCTTTATTTTCAGTAGGATTATGTCAACTCTAAAACATTTCAGCCTATAATACAATAGGTGATGTTGCATTTGTATTATCTAATAAGATTTCCTTTTCCTTTCATAGAATAAAAGAGTTGGAAGGGACCTTGGAGGTCATCTGGTCCAGCCCCCTGCTCAAGCAGGAAAGTCTATTCCAATTATTAGCCTCTACCTAGGATTGAACTCACAGCCTCCTGATTGATGAGGCGAGAGCTCCACCTCTAGGCCACCAGAGCTGCTTATTTGCTATCTGTCTCACCTTTAAGGGTGCTGTCCATATCAGTATAGACATGCATTTCTTCCTTCCTATGCATAGGAATAGAGGAGGGGTCTCAGTGTGTCATGAAGATCTGTCCTTTAGATTTGGACTGGAAGATAGTGAAGCAGCCTGTGGACTTCTGGGGAGGAAATGACAAAACATGCCTTGTGATGACACAAAACGAACTCTACTGCTTTTCATGCTTGAAATGTGATAATGAGATGTGAGATGTAAGGATTATCGCATGACCTTACAATATACTTTTTTATTATTTTGATGAAATTTTGGCTTGCTGAGGATACCTCTCAGGCAGCCACCCCTTCTTTTTCTTTATATGCCAATGTGCATAGGAATTCTGTTATGTAGGAATTTACAAGAAAATGAGCTTTATAAATCAATAAGAGTGCCTTATTGTGTTTTATTACCCCTCTTTTACTTCAAAGTTGAATTAACAGTTGATAATCTTTGAAAGCATTGGAAGAATCTGATTTGAATTCAAAACTACTGCTTTGAACTTGAAACAAATGTATTGAGTTGGTCTAGTGCAAGGGTCTTCAAACTTGGCAAGTTTAAGACTTGTAGACTTCAACTCCCAGAATTCCTGAGCTAACATGACTGGAGGAGGATTCTGGGAGTTGAAGTCCACAAGTCTTAAAGCTCTTAAGTTTGAATACCCCTGGTCTAGTGGCTGAAGCACCAGGCTAGAAACCAGGGACTGTGACTTCTAGTCCATTTAAGGCATGAAAGTTGGGGTAACTTTGGGCCAGTAACACTCTTTCAACTCAACTCACTTCATAGGGCTGTTATTATGGGGAAAATAGGAGGAGGAAGGAGTATTCGGTATGTTCACCTCCCTTGAATTAATTATAAAAAATAATAAGGGTGGAGTAAAAAAATAATCAAACAAGTGTTTCAGATTCAGAACAGTGACATGTCTCCATTTAATTTTACCTTGATACTGCTTATGGTTGTATGTCTAATGTCTTGCATGTATGTCTAATAAGAGTTTTTTTAATTATGACCTTAAGAAATTGGTCAGAAAGTCACTCAGTCCAATACAATAATCTTGGAAATAGCTGAACTGGATATCATTGGATATCAAGTAAAGTTGCCAATAGCCTTTTCTATATTCATTTAGAAATATGTGATTGAAACAATTCTGACTGTAGGTTTTATCAGGCTTTAAGCCACTCAAAGTATATTTTATTATTTAGAAATTTTGTAGATGGTTGATGAAACTGGAATAGAAAAAATATTCTAGATATGGAATGGGGAAAGGTATATATTTCTGATTTTTACGATGTCACCAGAATGATTGAGGATAGAGAATTAAATCCGGACTAAGCTTTCCATATTTAATTTCATTAATACATGGATTTTGTTTGACACATCTTTTCTAAAGTTCAACAGCAAATTATAAAATGCTGCTTTGACTGACTAGCTAAAGACAGAGATGCTTAAAAGATACTATCTTCTTTAATGTAAATGCAAAGTTTATAGTTTTTCTAGCAACAATAAAGGAGTAGTTTACCACTGCTTTGTGTTTTGTGTGTCTGCGTGTGTCTCTCTCTGTGTGTATTTTACTTCACACATACACATAGATACACTATTTTCTGGTGATGGTCTAACCATACCCAATCTTGCTTAGTTTTTTTTTAATTCAAATGACATCAGTTTGGAGCTGCTACCTAAATTGGGCAATGAGTTGCTTTAAGCTCACAAAATAAATCTGTATATTGTATTTATGAATAGTTTCTTTTAAGACTTGAACTCCACAACAAATATTTTGAAATTTTCAATTACAATTTTAATGTATTGCACTACATAAAATTATATGCTCAAGGAAAATGAATCTAAAG